TTTTTTTAAAAAAAGAATGCTTTGAATGATTTGCTATGTTATAGGGAAAATTAAAATGCTTATTTTGTGTACCTTTTGTCTTGAATTCCTCGTGAAAAAAATAGTGGGCCGCTTTGGAACTATTTGGTTGTAAATTACATATTTTGAAAAATCAGTATTCCATTTCATTCTGTCTTTTGAAAGTGAGTGAAAGCACCATGACAAATATTTCAAAACAATTCAACAAATTATCTGGGATCATAGCACATATTTCTGTGAATTAGTAAAGCTGTTTTCTTTCTGTTAAATTAGCATAGCCTGGAGAGAAAAGACAGGGACAACATTAACTCTAATGAAAGAAAGGAAGTTTTATGGTTAAAAAGGTAGATGTAATGTATAAAGCATGAGGCAAGAGTAAAAATAAAAAATAGCATTTTATTGCAGACATAAAGTATCAAAAAGGAATAATGTGTTTTTCTTCAGGTTTATACAAATACAAAAATATATAACATATTATATAACATTGGTTGAATACTCTCATTAAAAGATTATAAATATTTACAAATCAAAATTGTTTCACTGGGTCCATTCACTGCTCTGGTCAGCAGTCTCAGAGATAAAGCACATCTTTCATTGTAACTACATGTTAAATGATACATAAAATGAGCATTCCTTCAGTAAAATACAGTTGATGTCATATTGTTTAGACTGTGTTTTCCCAATCATCTATTACAGTGTGAAATGTGTCTCCCACTCTGAACTGTAAAGACGTGTTGACTTCATAGAGATATAAGGAATTGCTTTGTTTCTGGAACAGTACTGCCAACATACAAACAGCTGATGAATTTCTTGTTCCAATCACACTAATTGCCGATGGAAGTTTACAAAACATTTCAGGTTTTGGTTTACATGAATTTACATTCTTTCCATTTTAAAATGAATAAGATGCGCAGAACTTTAAACCAGCATTGTTCATATATATTGCTCCTAACCTCAAATACACACCACATCCCTTTCAAGGGTTACAACCATAAGGGTAGAGTTACTAAAAAATTTTTTTTTTTCACTTTCGGGTCAATTCATCAAAGCATAATACGTGCAGTATTTTTATTATTATTATTATTATTATTATTTTTCACCTTAATTCAAGTTTTAATGCATAGATCAAATTGCATTTCCCCTATCAATGCTAAGTTTTCTGTATATAAAAGCCAATTCCCCAATGTCCTTGCTCTTTATTTCTATTAAGGAGAGTGGGATATGTAGCCATTAAATACAGATTCATGGCAAATAATGGCTTTAAAATGTTAAACCAATGTTATGCCAAAAAAAAAATCCCACACCTAATTGATATGTTTGTGAACTAAGAAAATGATCACAGGATAAAATGACAAACACTTAAAAAAAAAAATGCTGCAGTTTAGTGAAATTACCCTTCAGTCCTGTGAGCCTGTGTTTTTTCTTCGAACATTCAGTCATGTACCCTTTTTATATTTGTTTTAGAGAGAAAGATTCACAGGGCAAGGGAATAAAAACTATTTGGTAAATCCCTTTTATGGCCTTTTTTTCCATTTTAATTTGTATAATGGATTTACAGTATAAATAATTTGCAGTACAACGTAAATGTGGTGTATCCCTAGCTTTATACTTTGACTTTATACTCATTCAATGTGTTGTCAAGAACTATTCTGCAGATAAGTGATGCAGTGTTGCAGTGATGAGCAATTAATGAAAAGGAAAAATAAGCTCACTGAATTGGCCTATTTATAGTAAGGTCCACAATTATTGTATTTTGTAGAAAGCATGTTAGACATGCCTGCCAGTGAGTATTCTGTTCTCATTGCTGAAAAATAAATGTGATTGTCTCATAACATATATAGGATATGTAATAAAACACCTGTTATAGATGCTTACTACACAATGTAATGTCTTTAAAATTAGCTCTATTTTAGCTCATAATAATCCAGTTCAACTAATATTATGTTAAAAACTGTCCATATTATATAAAAAATACATAGAAATGAAATAATAATGTGAATGAAGAACAACTACTCTGCTTCTGGGTCACAATTTTGGAACATCTAGCTCACCATAATAGATGATTTTGTGGATTTGGATCCGGTCTTTTACTGCCAGAATGCCTAACCGCACATTATTTGGCAATTAAGGTGTTAAGAGGTCATGACGATTCTGGCTCCTGGCAGACTAACCTCAGAAGTATTGCTGGGGCAGCTAATGTATGCACCTCTTTGAGTGTACGGTATGTAATTAAAGCAAGGCCTTGCACACAGGAGCAACCATATCCTGTAGTGAGGTCAGGGGGCAAAAGAGAGACAAAAAACAGCCTAGGCATAGAGTGTCTCAGTGTGTGATAATAGCTGTATGATTCCACAGGGCTCCTTGGAATTTATTCATTTCGGAGGCAGGAGGGTGAAGGGAGCAGTTGGGGTTGTGCCTGCAGCTGAGGGAATTTAACCAGATGTTCATTACTGCTAACTTCTTTTTATGCTGGTCTGTTAAGCAGAATTACAATGCATGCCCCTTGCCTGATGTATGCAGGTGTTAGTTACAGATTTTCTTCATACAAGTAAATGACAAGCTTTTTTGATCATTCTCTAATACAGCCATATGTACCAAATTAGACATACAACAAAGTTTCTTTTGGGAAGTAATCTTAAAAGGACCATACCACTTTTGGCTTAGATTAGTGTGAGATAATAAAGATAAACTATCATTTGAAGCTGTCCAATGTGTTACACGAGAGCAAACATGGAGAACATGTAGGGGTGGTGGTTTATTTATAGGCAATTGAAATGATCACCTTAGCACATGCTTACTTTAAATAACCAATTAGGTTCAGGAGAATTGAAAAATATCAACTCGGCTTAAACCTGATGATGTATACAAAGTGAAAATGAGTGCCATCATGTAAACTAGCTGAGAATTTGTAATGTATATTTAGTCATAGCCTAAAATTATATTTAGCCTAAAATCTAGTAGTTAAAGTAGCTTAAAAGACTTGTGATTATGGTCAACCTCTTTTTTTTTCTTTTTACTTAAATACAAGTGCTATGTGGGGTTAATCAATGAGTCGGTGTAAAAAAATGAATCAAGTAAAACAATCAAGATCCCAAAGAAGTCAATAACAATTTAGCTAAATGTAGTTAGACCAGTGAATGAAGCATTTTGATTGGTCGCTGTATGTTTCTACACGTTGCACATCAATCTTTGCCTTGTTAGAAAGTCCACTAGTGTACTTCGCTGGTGTGTGTTTGTATGTGCACATGGCATTTTTTTTTTTTTTTTAGAAGATAAAAATGTGTTGAAGAAGTTTTAGTGTCTATGCCTACTCATAGCTCCTGTGGTTTCTACCATACAGTAATATCACAGGATCTTCCCTTTAAAAACAGAGATGCTCCATGGAGCATATCCCCTGCACTAGGCTGTCTTTTCATCTGTAGGATGAGAGAGAAGTATGTTTTTTTCTTATATTTTTAAGGAAAACAGTTCTAATCCTCCCAGCATTATCGTCACTTGTGTTATATGGGAGTTCTTTAAAATTACCTTCTAATTCACATTTTATTTAATAAGGCAAAAAGCGAAGTGCAAACTACAGTTACTCACAGCAGCCAATGAGAAGTAATCTCTCATTGTTTACACTGCTCCAAAGTGAAATTTAATTAGTTGCTAATGATTTTAACATAATAATCGGTCTTTGCACTGCCTTGTTAAATAAGCCCTTTAGTCTTGACTGTAGAGCCCACAGTTTATAAGGATTGTATTGTTCAGATTTCTGTACTTCACTTCTGGGTCTGCATACCTGCAATGATAATTTCAAGGGGACCTCACTTTCTCTGTTGGACTTTTTATTTTACATTATGGAATAAGTAATAGGAGATACAGAGACATGTCAAAAACAACCAAAAATCCCAGGTTGACAGAAACAGAGTTGGAAACTAAGACACAGATATTGCCAGGGTCTGCTGTAACCCCCAGACTCTATAAAGTACAACATTACTTTTGGATGGATGGATCATTTAATTTGAATGTGCATCTGATCATCTGCTGCTGTATCTTTTTTTTATAATAAAACAGTTTGAGAAAAATTAAAAGAAAAGGGAAGTGCTGTCAGAGATGTTACACTTAGACATCTACATTACTAAAGCATTTCTCCCCTGTCTGTTAACAGAACACTCCAGCGACTACAAAGCAATGGTATGTCTTTCTATGTTTGTATTATGGCACTTGCCTGTTACGTTTTGGCATAAAAACAAACCCAATGTTTTGATGCAGGTTAAAAAAATATTCACTAAACCCCAGAGGCAGCTGGAAAGGGGTTTTCTTTGTGCAAGTTGTGGAAAGTGGGAACAGATGGTGACTGCATTTCTGTGAACCTCAAAATTAAACATGGAGGCAGCTGTAAAATCTCTCTCACTTTGGTAGCAAAAAGTAGCAAGTTTGGTTTCTGAAAATTAGAATTACTTTGCCCTGGTATTTGATAAAATATAAAAGTGTCCATATATTTTTTAAAGCTTTAGGTTTATTGCATACTAAAAAAAATCATCTATATCTATGCCTATCTTGACAGTACAATGTGCTTGCAGTTGTACCAAACCTTTAAAAGGAAAAGTTCTTGTTTTTCCAGGAAAGCTGGTAATCTGCCCATACTCCTCCTACACAAATGCAGCACCCTCACCTACATTTAATGAAAGCTATGACCCTGTCCCTATAAAAGGTAATATAGCAGTAAGTGCAAGGCATATTTAGAAAGAAAGAAAGAAAGAAAGAAAGAAAGAAAGAAAGAAAGAAAGAAAGAAAGAGAAAGAAAGAAAGGGCAAGCATGACAAATGCATGGAATTTGGAAGGCTCAGTTCTTGATGGACATTTTTAGCTTTTTTGAATGTCTATCTCTCCAAGCCTAGAAATGTGATATTTAAACTTACAGCACAAATGTCTGAACCTTGCAATATATAGCTAGATGGGTTTCAACTATTGTTTTTTTAAGGCACCTCTAGGACTAGGCTTATTAAGGATGTTCCGGCAGTTTGAAGGAGGACCCTCAGGCACTGGGCAGCATGAGGGTCCTATAAGGCTCAGCACAAGATACATTACAAGATTCCGGGATACAGGTGTATGGGTGCCCATGGATTATGTGTCTTAACACATTTCATGCCGCGGTGGAAGCTGTATATCTGCAGTCTCCTGCTTACTTGTTCATAGCTTTCTCCAGGAACTCCTGGATCCATTTAATCTTGGGGTCCAAGCAAATCTGTTTCCCATTGTGTTTAAGACGAGCCCTGTGGAATACCAAGGTAAGGGTAAAAGGTTAGGGAAAAACTAGTACAAAAGGCAAAGAGAAACAGCCAGTATTAATGGGGACCAAACTTGTATGTGGTATGATTTAGAGGAACCTCTAATGTTCAGGACCTTGTTATGTCCTACATTACAAATATAATAATAAAAATATCTTTCACTGCCTTTCACACCTTCCTCAACCAGTTTACAAATTTAGCTGCATGTGGCACAGCTGTCCTACACTTTATAAAGGCCGCTGTAAGTTGCAGTTATTACCAGGGCCGGCCTTTGGGATGTTCAAGATGGGCGGCCGCACAGGGTGCCGTGGCAACAAGGGCGCCAGGCGGCCGACACAACTCATCTTTGGGGCGACTACAGCCTGTGGCTTCTCTCCTCCTCACCGCTCGGCCATCCAACATGAGAGCGCTCCCTGGAAGAGGGGGTGCTGGAGGGAGCGCTGCCTGCTGTCAGGATGCCCGAGCAGTGAGGAGGAGAGAAACCGCAGCTTTCAGGACGGCCGATCGGTGAGAAAAGCAGAGCTGCTGTCATCCTGTCAGTTTCAGGATGACAGCGGCTCTGTGCATGGCCGAGCGGAGGATCGGTAAATATCAGTAATATTTATAGATCCTCTGTGTGTGAAGGAAAAATACTGGAGTGATCGTCTATGTGTCCCCAGTTATGAATGAACAGGATGTGATTTATATCACTTCCTGTTCATTCATGAATTTCTGAATGGGGAGAAGCACTCACTATAGAGGCTCCTCCCCATTCAGAACCTGGTGATAGTAATGTTTTACTATCATCAGTGTCTGAGTGAATGGGAAGCCTCTGTACTGAGTGCTTCCCATTAATTTAGAACAGAGGTTGCAGAAAAAGAAATTGAGAAGTCTGTGTCCTCAATTTCTTTTTCTATTTTCTAAAGTTGTGCAAAGACTAAAAATTAATTTAAGATGAAATGAACGAAAACTAAAAACGTTTTCATTCGTTTCATCAAACAAAACAAATTGTTATGCTATTTTGGATTCAGTCATCGGTGTGTTCTGGAGGCCTGACGTCATATAACACCGCACGTGTCGGGCGCCGCCATCTTGGTGTATATCTAGGTAAGGCGGCTCCTATATCGGCATGTGACGTCACCTGACGCCACGCATGCATCTCGTCATGTGATGTCATGCTCCGCGCCTCCAACAGGGCTACGCATTCTCAAACAAATTGTTATGTGCCTGAATACATTTTTCGTATATTTGGGCATATATTAATTCATTCATTTAACATGTATAGTCTAGGTTTTGTGTTCTGTTTTTATTTTTACTTTTCTAGATGCACTTACTTGAAAAAAGGGTCTGCATGACATCCTGACACTATCTTTATAGACTCTTTTTTAGTTTGACATTTATTGTTTACCACTTGTTTGCCTAGAGTTGTTTTATTTAATAAGAATACTTATATTTTGCCTACAAGTTTAATACCTTTGAATAAAAGTTTTATTTTTACCATAATGTGTAATGTGTTTCTTTGGGGCTTAACAAAATGGGAGTCTTTAAATGGTGCCGCTATTGGAAAAATGGGTGTGGTTACTGAGGGGTGTGGTCACTGAGGGGTGTGGTCACTGAGGGGCGCTGTAAAGCTTTCTCGTACTGGGTGCCTAAAGGCCTAAGGACGGCCCTGGTTATTACTATAATATTAATACTCAAAGTTCTGTCAACTTTTTTTCTGGGATTGTATAGATCTAGCCCTTGCAGAGTAATTCCATTTAGTTTGGCCTACTGTTTCATTTTAATCTAACATGCCTGTTTTACACTATGCATTAAATGACTAAAGGAGTGGAGATTTGACCAAGCCCATCAAATGTCCAACCTTGTGCAGGCAAATTTAAAAAAAAAAAAGAATTTTACTTGCACATGATTGGATGACTGAAGTGAATACAGCTTTATTGGCATCACTGAACATTCTATTCCTTTATCAAATACACCCCATTGTATTTTCACCTTAGGAGCTTGTGTGAGGTCATGCAGGCAGCAAGTTCAAGAATTCTCTGCAGAGGCAGAGGCTTTCAGTAAATTAAAAAGAAAAGTTAAAAGTGAAGGGAAATATAAATTGTTCATAAGCAAGTCTACACAATTGCAATATATTAAGATATAACCTTTAGAGTTGTGTTTAAGCCCAGTCATAACTTGTTCTCTTTAATGATTTTTAATAGACTATAATTGATGAATACAGTAAATTATGTAATTATAACAGACTAAAATAAAGGTTTATTTCCTTTTTTTTATTAATTTAGTTTGATTTTGGGGATATATCAGGCATAACTTGATTTTTATTTTTAAACTATGTGTGTTGTTTGTACTTACACAATCTGCAGTGAACAGTTGGTGGTGGAGAGGATCTTCAGGTGTTTGATGTTGCTCTTGGCCACGTTGCTTTCAAAGTATCTGCAGGGACATCGGTAAGTCAAGCTGACCGGTTTCTCTGTAGGATCAAAGAATAAACATTAGGAATGAGATCCCCACATGGAGCACAGACATTACTCAACATTGCATTCTTAACAGCAACCTCCTGGTAGAAACAGTTTATCTTTTCTTTGTCTGAGGCTATCGTGTCATTAATCAACTACAGTAATACCTTGGTTTACGAGCATAATTCGTTCCGGCAGCATGCTTCTAATCCAAAGCGCTTGTATATCAAAGCGAATTTCCCCATAGGAAATAATGGAAATTCCGATGATTTGTTCCACAACCCAAAAATATTCATATAAAATGATTACAATACTGTACTGTAATATAATACTGTACAAAATATAAAGAAAAATAAACCAATTACAGGTACCTTTGTGGCCGGTGTGAGGGGGACAAGAGAGAGGAGGATTATTGTGTAGGACAACTTTTACTATCACTAACGGAATCAGTGCTATCTCTTGACTCAATGGAATCTTTTTCATTACGTGAAACCTTAACAAGGAATCTATCCAATGTAACATGCATTGTCGTTAAACAGACTCATCGCTCGCACTGCTACAGCCTTATTCGGGTGGCGCTTTTCTACAAAATGTTGCTCTTATTGCAAGACATTGCTTGTATATCAAGGCAGAATTTTTCAGAAATGTTTGCTTTGTCTTGCAAAACGCTCTCAAACCAAGTTACTTGTAAACCAAGGTATTACTGTATAGAGAAAACTAAAATAAAGCACATTGAGTCAAGCACAATTTGGAATTTTAATACTATAATAAAATACGCAAAGCACAGAGTTTGCTTTACTATGTTATGAATAATTATGTTGATATGTGAGATACAAGCACTTACGAAAAATATATAGAAACATGTAATCTCTATGACTAATGCTTTAAAATAACTAATACTCCCTAAGACTATAAAATAAAACAGCAGCAGCCCTTGTATGCATAGTGCATAACTATTAAACATTGTGCTTTCATGTTTTTTTTTATTGCAGGGATGAAAGACCTTCATTTTGAATAACTTAAAACAGAACTACAAGCTGTACACAAACTAAGTACATATAGAGGGTTATTCACAAAGCTGCCGAAGGATCTAGCTGTAGCTTTGGCTGATCCTTCGGCTAGCTTCGGCCCCAGGACCCCTTCGGTTCAGCAGAACCAAAGGGCTGCTTTATGGGCTATTCACAATAGCCCGTACAGCTCCCGAAGTTGGCCGAGCGGCTCAGTCGAGCTGAAGGCATATGCTTCGGCTCGACTGAGTTTAACACACAGCCGAAGCGGAAGCTGAAGCAGACTGTTCTCTCCGCAATATGTAATCAAATAAATAAACACAGCATGGGGTCCTCCTCCCAAACGTTACAAATGTTAGGAGGGACCCCCATTTAAAAATGTAAAAAATGCCCGGACCAATCCTAGCCTGTCTCCCCCCTGATATCGGCCGATTCCCTGTTTATTTTTATTTTTTTGTGGCTGCTGTCTGAATACAAAGAAAAAAAAAGCATCGGATAATAGGGGAAGCATCAGCTCCCTGTTATCTGCTGATTACCCTGCTATGTTTTTTTTTCTATTATTTTGACAGCTGCCACTGGCTGCTGTCAGAGTAGAGAAATAAAAAAACAACAAATAGCATAGGAATAAATAGCTAGGCTGCTATTGGCCATTTCAAATTGGAATAGCCAATAGTAGGCTGGCTATTGCACCCGCCTACTGCTGCTGTCAATCAGCAGAGGTGGACCTGATGGAGAACTTCCTCTCCGCCTAGTTCTCAGTGTGTAATGACAGTTCAGCGTCCCCTGGTTACCAGGTAACATGACATGCGGTCAGGGGAGGCAATCTGTCCTTTACACTAGCTTGGGGACGGGTTGTGGGCTGGGCTTCGTCAGGTGGGGTGGAGCTTTGGCCGGCGGGACTGGGGAATGCCTTACCCCGAGCAAGAAGTACCGCACGTCACTGGTCATTACAATGAGAGCTTAGCGGAGCTGGCTTTGATATCACCGCCGGCTCCACCGAGCTCTCATTGTAATGACAGCTGGTCCCAGCCAATAGAAAACAGTTGGGTGGAGCTAGCTGTCACTGCTAGCTCGGCCCAATTGTTTTCTATTTTTTTTAAACTTTTTTAACTGTTTTTTTATTCTGCTCGGTACCTTCTGCTGAGAATAGGTCGAACAGCAGCGAGTAGCCTGCCGGAGGTTTGGCTCAGCCGATCCAGTTGGATCGGCTGAGTCAAACTCCTTCTGCACTTCGGGTCGGCCGAACATGCCAAGCATGTTCGGCCGACCCGAAGCAAACCGATGGATGGCTGATTTCAGCTGATGTACGGCTGAAATCAGCTGTACAAGCCTGAAGTGAATAGCCGAACAGCATTCGGCTCACTTCACTTCGGGTCGGTTATTCACATGGCTGCCTTCGGCAGCTTTGTGAATAACCCTCATAATGTATGGTTACTGGCTTCTTGTGCTGGTTCTTTTTCTCCCATCCAGGGAGAAGTCTGTACTGGGGAGGATAGGTCTATAGTCCTGACCCCTGTCAGTGTTTTAGGTACTCCTGACCCCTGAATCTGTGCACTATGCACTCTTGTCCCATTGCAGAATAGGCTCAGGTTTTTTTTAACATATACAATTTAGGCCCCTCCTACTGTTACAGCAATTTGGCCACACCCGCAGTTCACTTCATCATTTCTCTGCTTATAATGCAAAAGTTTGTCTTCATACCTTAATTGTCGGCCGCTTGTGCCAAAGGTCTGTGACCAATTGTTTTAGGGCAAGTAAAACATGGGTGTGTGATTTTGTGGGTATGGCTACAAACAAGGGAGTGGTTGTTGTGGGTGTGACTAGTGAAATGTCCTCTAATTTAATTTTTAAATTCTAGTAACCTTAATTTAAGGGAGCTGTTTTAATTTCCAACAAATGTGTATTTATGTCCATTCAGTCCTAAACTTCAACATAGCTGTGCCACACAGCACAGCCCCATCTGACAGTGCAGGATAACTATTTTTTTCTTCTGCAGTTAGGTAACTAGTATTGTTCTCACCCTGGTCTATGACTTGACAGTGAAAGGAGAAGCAGCAGACTGATGAGTTAATCTCTGCCACCCTGCTCTCCCCTCCTGTCAGCATGCTCCCTGGTTAGCACATGAGCATTACAGCACAGCTGACTGGCTTCTTCTGCTGCTTCTTTTTCTCCCAGTCTTAATTGTGCTGTGCTGGGACTTGGAGAGACTCCTGCCAAATCAAACTCGGATAACTTGCCAAATCAAACTTGGATAACTACACTGCTTGCATTAGAACAAATACACTCAGTTATGTCTTAATTAATACATAGCTGCATTATTGTGTGTCTTTTTCTATCTTACTCAAATTTAAGACAGCCAATAAAAGGTATCATTAAATGCCAAACTTTCCTCATAAATTGATGCCAAACTATTGCTATTTTAGCAAAAGTAATGTAACATAATGTTAATGTGACACACAGATAAGAGCACCCTCCCCCACCAACACACACATATGCCTGTATAAACATGCTTCTTAGGTGCAAAGCTGTAGATAGTAAAGGATATAAGACCGTGGGAGTACATGGATAAAGAAAATACCAGCAAAATTAGAGTTGGCCATTGCTTAATTGCTTTATGTAGGCAGTGATTGCAATTAGACAAGATAACAGAAGAGATAAGACAGTCCCCAGCTGCATTGTTATGCCCCACTTTAATGGTTTTTAACCTTGGGCTACAAATAAATCTACTCTGGAAGTCAAGGAAACAAAACCTTGCAAGGGAAATTAAAGTTTAACTGCTAGAAAATGGATCAACCTTTTTTCGTTAGGTGGGGCATAAAAACAAAGCAAACCTTAACAGTTAAATTTCAAAGTTAAAGCAAAAAATGGTTTGTGTTAGGAGTATAGTCATTTTGCTTTCCATAGTGAATCACTGTAGGCAACGCCATTATATTTTTTGTTTTGCATGGCGAAATCCAATGCCTGAGATTTCAGAAACATTAGATAATGATCAGGATGTTTACGTGGTACTTAGTTAAGCAAGCAAGTAGAGCTTGTCAAGAAGTAAAGGACCTTACAGCCAACAGCCTATTGCTCATTATTTATAAGTGCTACCAGGATCTGGAGGTGTCTGCAATTCTCATAGCTATGCATGGTCATAATACAGGATGCTGGCCTCAATATCATTTACCAAGCTAAATTACAGGAGACCTTGTGTGAGCAGGGAGGCACTCTATTCACTAAAGGGGAGGTTCATGAAAAAAGGGAAGCCAAGTACTATTCACTCTGGCTAGCACATTTTCTTGCCACTTTCTTGCTTGTGCATCCCTGTGACCGTGCATGTAGAGACAACACAGTCTTGCACATCTGTCAAGTCAGTAGGCAATCTTAGTTGCAGCATTCTACTGAAGTACAGGTGAAACAGTTAATTCTAAAAATGCTCTAATGATTTGTTTAATGTTAGGAATGTAGGAATATTGTAAATTTAAGGATCAGGAGAGAAAACAAAACTGTTAATTACCAAAGGAACCAATCCAATTTCAGACAACAATGTTTAAGCCAGTGGTTCTCAACCTGTGTAACCTCAGGACCCACATTTGTCCTTGGTCATTAAGTCGCGACCCAAGTCGCACTGCAATGGCGTGCACAGCATTAGGGTACCGCACATTCTGGTGCGGATGTACGAACTGTGGGTGGGAGGAGCGTTTGGGGTACCATTAAAATGAATGGCAACGCAACAGCCTGGATCTTCAGCCTGGGGTCCAGTGTGGGTTGCTGTGATGTGACGGAGCACCATCCATATGCATTGCTTGTACAACTCCTTTGTGCTCCCTGTAGAGGTGCCGGGAACCAGAATGTGATGTCACTCTGGCCCAGGCAACTCTACAGGATATGTGAGGAAGCTATAAGCAATGCATGTATGGATTAAGCTCCCTTGCCGCCTTACCCCTAGCAAATCAAGCTGAAACTTGGCACCGAGCAGCATATTTTAAATGGCTGCTTGGCGCGAGAACTGACAGTGCTGCGCT